AAAAAACACACAACAGTCCTTCAATATCGTACTATGTGAATGGACAACAAAGATTGAAGAAACACTCCATTTATAGCTGGAAAAATGCAACATTTGGACAGACTTATGGGAAAATCTTCATGAGATTCAGTCCTTACGATCCTCACATAATTAACGATTATTTTCAAACAACAAATTCACAAAGTATTGGCATTTTTATAACATTTCATTCCCTGTTAGAGACAGATTGCTATTCTGAAAGTGAAACTTTTATATAAATATATATTCCATAAAGCTAAGATCTAGTTCAAACTAACTGTCAGTCACAAAACTGACACTGACTCTCTTCACTATAGCTAAACCAAGACAACAAGCTGTGGCGAAGTAACAGTGTAGTCAAACTGTAAGGTCGTTCTCAGGTTCTCATCTATCCTCATCCACAAACAAAGTGAGTAGGAATATGAGACAGGAGGGACTTTGAAAAAAAAAAAAAAATCCTGAAGCTGGAGTCAAACGCACAAAAACTTTAAATCAGCCAACGTGACAACGTGTTTTGAATCACATCTTGGAGTACCTGCGCTTCATAAACCCGCCACACAAGCATCCATTATCCACATACTCATACATACTGAATCAATATTTTAAAAAAAATGTATAGGCTACCACTTTAAACAAAATTTAAATATATTTTCTGGTTCATAAAAAATAAATAAATCTCACCTACAGAAGGAAAACACGACGACGGCAACAAACAAGTCAGGTAGAGTAAAGGAGCAGAAATCGTTTTAGGAGAAATCACGTGGTGACACAGCTGAGTTGCGGTGGTGCCAAACTGCATGGGAAGCGGCAACTTTCGTCTTATTTGCATTTCGTGGTGAGAGGAGGAGACTGTCTTTCGTGCTGTTCGCCGGTTTACTTTTGCTCGTTTATCAGCGGGAAAACACAGCAAGGGAACTAAACCGAATCAAAGGAACGAGACGATGAAAGTAAAACTAAATACAAAGCACAACAGACAACCAACATAAAACAGAAACAAAACGTAAGAACACTTTTCAAAGTGACACGGACTCAACAACAACATAACACACGGGAGGAATAAAGTGAATCAAGGAATATAAACAGAGTATAACAATAGTTTTACCATCTAGTTTTTGTCTAAGTAAAAAAAAAAAAAAAATTGAATGTCCAAATTTATTCTTCCTCTATAATAACTTGTTTGCACTGATTTTCAGTTCAGTTTTCAGTCCATCATGACTCAGCTCTTTCTCCCTCGGTAATAATCATATGACCCAAAATAATTACCATGAACATATTGCAATGGAATATAATGTGTGTGATGGAAATGAAAACCATTAAATGAATTTATTATTTTGTGCCCTTTTTAATTTTAGACAAAGTGCACTTTTTCTGA